GTAAACGGTTGGGGGGCTGTTTATTCATGTATTTTATTTATGCTAGTGTTTTTGCTTTGGTTTTATGGTTTTTGTTTATCTTGTTTTCGTTTGGTCTCATCTGTTCTCTCTTGGTCACGTAGCCCATCGCTACATCACCACATACACCCCCCCCTCATCTCCCATTTCCAGAATCTAATTAACCACCCCTGACAATAAACAACAGTTCGCCCAAGAGCTCCTATCAACCTTTTCCACCTCCCTAGGCGAAGTCGCCCTCCAGCCGGCAACCGGAGGCGTGTTCATCGTCGAGATCATCACCACTTCCGGTTCCGACCAAGCCACACTCTCCAAAAAGGTGCTCTGGGACCGCAAGACAGACGGCGGGTTCCCAGAGACCAAGGAGCTGAAGCGGCGAGTGAGAGATATTATCGATCCCGGACGGGGACTGGGGCACGTTGATCGGGATTACCCCAAGCCCAAGCCAGAAGAAGAGGGCGAGAAAATCGCCGCTGATGAGGTGAAGCGGGATGTGGAAGCTGGAAAGGCGTGTACTATTGAGGGGAAGGAGAAGTGTGAGGATTGTCAGTAGTTGATGAATATGAACGGAAGATCAGCTGTTGAAAGCAGGGACTTGAGGAAATAGTATTACGTGTGCTGTCTGAGAGGCTGAGAGGCACTAAACTCAACATTTCAGTCGTTCATCAGTCAATACAGAACGGCTCAACGGGGTCGTGAGATCTGCGCTGGGCATTATGGTTTCTATTTGCTCCTCTGTTGCCTTGATCGCTTTATGCTGCTTCGAGAGTGATGAATCAGAGATAAGGCATGGTTCGGCAAGAGGAGAGAGTAGTGCAAAGTCGACGATTTGTAGGGTTATAAATTCCACCAAAACCAGTTGCTATTTTAACTGCTAACCACCGTTGATGTGCGGTATCTCTCTGTTTGTCCGCTGGAAGCAGACCGACATACCAACTGACTAGCATGTTTGCTTACCTCTTGTGTCTCCTTTTTCACATCAACTAGCATATATCAGCATCCACATGAAAGAAAAGTGTCAAGTACTTTTGTGATCAAAATCATCTGAACTTTTGAACATGGTCATCATCCCCCATGGTTTCCCAGCCCATGGTTTGACACTTCAGAAACAACATGGATACAGCGCTATAAGACAACAGAAAACAAAAACCCCAAGCCTATCATAAACCCCGGTATCTCTATTTTAAACCCCCACCAAAACGCCAATGCCCATAATATTATTTCTCAAGGTCAGCCAGTCCAGTGCCCCTAGCACTGACTGTGGCTAAGAAGCTCGCTCATAATGTTCCAGTCGGTATTCCCCTGGTGGTCCCCTCCCAGCACGCTCGTCAAATCAGGGTAGAAAGTCTCGTCCAGAGACTGTTGATTTTGCTGCTGGTCATGCTGCTCTTGAAGCAGCATGTCAATTTGCTGCGCCATCTGCAGCTCTGGATCGACAACAAGACCCTGTGACACGTTCTCGGCCATGTCCGGAATACCGGGTCCATTCTCGAGGTCAATCAGGCTATGGTCCTCGTTGCCATAACCGTCGATCGGGGTGCCATAAGGACTGTTTGTCCCAACGATGTGTCCCTGATCCCCATAACCGCCCTGAGCAGCACCAAGAATATGACCCTGGTCACCATAGTCCTCTACAGGTGCGGCAAGAATGAAGTCCTGATGCTCATACCCTCCTTCGACAATGACATTGGCCTGGGCCTGCCTCTGATGTATTTGAAGATGCTTGTTGAGATCTGCATATCGGATGAACCTCGCTTCACAACCAAGCATCGTGCAGGCAAGCTTCTTCTTGTCAACTGCCGCCGTCATCTCGTCCACCTCGTCTGGTCCATCCAGATTCAGAATGACGGTTCTTTCTGGACGCTTCCGACCTAGGTGAATGAACCGGATATGCTCCTCGAGTTTAAGCTTGCTAACAAATTCAGCCTTGCATCCCTCCTCTTGCCAGTTCCAGTCTGTGATATCGAGCGTGTTGAAAGTGTTGACCTCCCCACAGACAAACTTTCTGCCTTCGTGCGCGCTCCGGTAATGGGTCATCATGTTGGACTTTCGGGTGAACATGCTGTCGCACCCCGGCCAGTTGCAAGGCACATCTTTCCTTTCCTCCACCGACTTCCCAGAATGCACATTCTCCATGTGCTCCTGCAATACAGACTGCCGCCCAATCTTCCTGTTGCAGAAAGGACAGGTCCGGTGCTCGGTCCTGTGATGAGTCTTGAGCTGGTTCAAGGTGGTGAAGCCAACCCTTTTCTCTTCGCCATCCTCGTCCGTCTCTTTGGAACAGTCATCACACCAATACCGCAGTTGCCCATGCTCTCTTTCGGTGTGACGACGCAGAGCACCGGCACTGTCGAAACCTTCTTCGCAACCATCCTGGCGGCAGGGGAAGCCCGCCTCGCCGAGATGCTCCATCCGGATGTGTCGCTGGAGGGTCTCACGCTTGCGAAAGCTCATACTGCACCCCTCATAGTCCCTGCATCTAAACCGTTCGGCACCTTCGTGGACGGCAGCATGCCTCTTCAGCCTCGTATTGGTGACGAAAGCCTTGCCACATCCTTCGACTTTACAGACATAGTCCTTCACGTGGGTGTGAGTGCCCTTGACGTGTTGTGCCAGGTGCTTCTCCTCGAGGTAGGACTTGTCGCACCCTTCGTAGTCGCAGCGGTGGATGCGGTCATTATTGTGGCTGCGAAGATGGGCCACTAGGCGAGCGGGTCGGTTGAAGGTCTTGACGCAGCCAGGGAAGGTGCACTTGATTGTCTTCATATCGGAGGGAAACTTGCGGCCTCGGCGGGAGGTAGAGATCGATGTTGCTCCCGCGGTCTGGGTTTCGGCTGGGGGAGAGGGGGTCTCTGAAGCGACATCATTGCCGTCGTAGATGGAGGTGGATTCGGCCGTATCCTCCTCTGGGCTGCCCTTGTCGAGGTCTTGGTTGGTGAGGTCAAGCTGTTGACGCTTGGTCGAGTCCACCGACTCGTCGTCGACAGCCTTGCGTTTCATGGCTCTTGTTGCTCTGGCAGACATGACGGGGCTGGCCAGAGCAAGCAAAGAGGGTGTGGTTTTGTTTCTGGTCGAGTGCCAGTTCGTTGTAAGAACAAGCATGGTTTAGCTCAATGCGATAGCGTCGATATCGAACTTTTTTGTGGGTGCGTCCTGGGGCTCCCGGCCGGCAAAGTGAATAGACCCACGCCCCCCGCGTCACCTACCAGCTACTGTGAGTGGCCAGCCTTGTCCATTGCGCATGGGCCCACTCAAATAATTTTACGATTCCTCCTTCAGCCGCTTGCCAGACTTGTTCACTTGGTTCAACGCAACATCCATCTCATCGCAGCAACAAAGCCGACATTGTTGCCCATCTTCACTGCGCATTCTACCCAACAGTCTCTCTCGACCATCTATCTTTGATTAGGACAAGATGTCTGAATACGGCAACGACGACGATCGCGAAGAGGCTATGTACGCGCCTCCCCAAGCATTCTTTCTGCCGAGAAAAGGTCAATCGCTGACTGATTAAACCAGCAACGATGAGCCCATCTTCGATGAGGAACCCGAGGATCACTACGAGCCAGCGGAAGATGACGAGGCCGACAACCGCCCCAATATTGGCGATGACGAGGACCAACAAGTAGTCAACTCCGGCGACCCTAACGCGGCCGCCAACCAGGGCAAGGGTGCCGGAAAGTCGCACAAGGATAAGAAGATTCCAAACGACCAGCGAAAGACGACCCCGTACATGACCAAGTACGAAAAGGCGCGCATCCTGGGCACGAGAGCGCTCCAGATCAGGTGGGTTGCAATGGCTGTGGTGGGATCTCAGATAGGGGCTGCGGCTAACGGAGACCAACAGTATGAATGCGCCCGTGCTGGTTGATCTTGAGGGCGAGACGGATCCCCTCCAGATTGCCATCAAGGAACTGAGGGAGAAGAAGATTCCCCTCATTGTGCGCCGGTACATGCCTGATGGAACGTAAGTTTCGCCATCCTAGCGATTCCGGTTGGCTTTCGCTGACATGAAACTTAGTTACGAGGACTGGACCTGCGAGGAGCTTATGCAATGATTATTCCGCATTTATACGGGCACATACAACAAGAATGAGAAAACCAAGACTGCATTAGCGACGGCGTTGGGGTAATTTTGCCATTGAGGCTTTGGATTAGACAGAATGGGCTAGGCGCGCCGTGGCGGGTGTTGCCGTTGTTTGTACGAGTCTATTCGCCCTGTTGGCTGCAGGACTCGGAGACATGGCCTACAAGCAAACACGCGCCGCGGTGGAGGGGCAGCATATTCGAGGGCTACATACTATGAGAGCAGACAGTAATCAAGCTGTTCATGATTTCAACATGTGGCAACAGCTCCTGATTGCTGAATCTCACGCAAGAAGCGGCTAGTGTGAAAGGAAGAGGTTGATAGGTTCAAGCTGAAAGATGCCTGGAAGACAATACTTCAGTTCTTACACTCCTTAACTTCTTTACGGCGTGACACCTCCACCAGAGGCCGAGGGTGCTCGTTAGACATGCGCGACTCGTTTGAGGAAAGCAAAGGAAGATGTTTCGTTAGACCATCAACTTCTGCAAACTATGACCCTCATAAAGACATTCGGGCATATTTCGACGTCGCAGAAGACCCTCAATGGCAATTTCCCGCTTAAAATTTGTCTATTATCTCTTCTCGGCTCGAGCATGTCTTTGTGACCCCTGTTCTTCATATTCTCAAGCTCTTCCATAGGTGACCCAAGTTTCAGCTTGCCATTTCTAAGCCCTCTCAGCAAGATTTGACTCTCATTCTCGCACAACTAGCGCATCTTCCAAGGCTACCCGGTAGTTCCCAAACCACAGCCATCTTGAACTTTACCAAGCCACATCCACCGTCTCTCCATCAGTCACACTCCACATAGCTCCAACTCAAAAGCTCACACAGCAAAAAGACTTTGAACCCTCTTCCCACGACGACCACGACAAGAAATTCAGGTAAATACCTCATGGGGTGACTAGTCTAGTGGTCAGGACGCTTCGTTGTGGTTGTTTTCTCAGGGAAAGCATCACAGACGATTCCGAAGAAACCCCGGTTCGATTCCGGGGTCGCCCAAAGTACTTTTTGCGTTATCTTTTTGTTCTTTCTTGTTTATTTTATCACCTTACCTAGGTAGGTAAGTAAGTTCAAGGTTGTGTCATCACGATCAAACGGTCGTGTTGTCAAATAGGTGGGAATTTGGTTTATCTCTCTTTTTTGGATAATCAGGGCTTTCGGGGCGTCTGGATCCTTACTTTCGATGACCATTTTCAGAGAGAGGGGGAGGGCTCCATTGGATGAGATGGTAAAAGGCCCAGAACCTTGTAGGAGAAAAGAGACTGTGTGTGTTCTGTGTGTTGTGTGTGTGGGCCCGGAAATAATTCCCCTTACCTTTCTTGCATACAGCTTGCATAGGTACACAAAATTTGAGCGAGATTTTTTCTTTTACCAACAGAGAGAGAGATATTTGCTCACTTTTTTTTTGCTTGTTGCAGCCCAATAATTTCTGTAGAGTAACATTGGGCTCTTTTGTCCTTGGGGGGTGGGGGGGACGACAGAGAAACAGAAGTGTGCACAATAACACGCAAGCTAGAAAGAAGAGGAAGAAGGCGGAAGAAAAATAAAAGGAGCGGGAAATTTTCGCATCTAGTCTAGGTCAACGGCGGGGGATTTCTGAGAGAGCGTGTGTAGGAGGTATGGTTTACAATCTGCTACTACTTTATGGCCTTTCGTTGAATCGAGTCATGAGAAAAAGAAAAGAAAAGTACAAGGGAAAGGAGGAATCGGGCGGTAGTTCTGGACTTAAGTAATGTTAGTGTGGAAAGGAAGGCTCCTGTTACCATGAGTTAGATGGGAAAAAGAAAAGACGAAAAAACAAGAAGAACATTAAGGAGGATCTCCGGGCTGGAAGATGGGTTTTCTGCACCCGGCTTTGCTGAGCTACTTCGCTGGAGGGAAGTGATGAGAGGTTGTACATTGCCCATCGTGAGTTGTGGAGGTGGCTGTCCACCTGTTTGCTTCACTTGACACTGGAGTTTGTATGGGGATTGGCAAGTCTTTGGCTAGTGGGCGTTAAGAATTAAAAGACGTTTTGCGTGATAGTTGGAGAACCAAGTCTAGCCTTATAACTATGGTGGAAGCCGAGCAGGACTTTTCTTGGTTGTTACACCCGTGAGCTTTAGCTTAAAGGAAGAACTTTTTGTGTTGATCTCAATTTTTTTCTGTCCTACGTGACGAGATAAGCTCCTTTCAAAGAAACCACGAATTCGAAGACGCAACTTTGTTCGTGCAATGTTACTGGGTAAGGTAGGTTGTCCTGGTGTATCCTGAAGTTCCGGGATACAGGCGGCTGTACACTTCTTTCTTGGGAGTCATCATCTTGGAGACACTTACAACAGCTCCCTGTGTTACGTAGCTCGTTTCATGATGTCGATGTAGGTACCCAGCTCAGATGGGCAATTCTGGAGCCATGATACCTCCACGCAACGTCGCCAACCTATCTCCTGCGAGGAGGCTGATCTAGCGCTTACTCCTACATCAGTGCGTGATCACAGCTTCAGTTTGCCTTGCCATCTGCTGCTTATCATGATGCTCCTGTCGTAAGGATGTAGCGCTGGTTGCCTTGGCTATGCCGCGGTAGTCTGAAGGGTAGCTGCATGACCCTAACTAGGTTCTCAGCGATGTTGATCTCGTGGATACCATGACTGCATAAAAAGACCCTTCAGGCCGGCAATTGCCTGCCGCGGGGTTTCTTTTTCTTGTTCATGAAAGGTAGCACAGAAAGGCATCTCGTCGGTCCTACGTAAGGGTTTCAGGATAATTGTCAATGACACTGATTTGCTATCTGATCAGCAATCCAATAGATCCATCATGACAACACTCTTTGAAGACATCGACGGACCATTTGCTGCGAGTAGCCGGACAGGGAAGGAAATAGTGGAGTTTTTCCCCAGGATGAGGAAGACAGTACGAGGAACGGTACGGATTTGATTGGCGCGATGTGCTACCGATCGGGTTACATACAGAAACGCCTGCCTGTCCATCATGGACTTGGGCGGAGTGATTGGGTAAGAGGGTCGTTTTGAGTCGAAGGTAGACGGCAAATCATGTGATTTGTGGTGCGGTCTGGAACCTTTTTAATCAGAAATGGTGAATTGCTATGACAGCATCGTTGGAGGGGCAGAAATGGGCAGAAAACGAGGGGCAGATGGGGATGCCCCGCCTTGTGCCGAGAGCGAGGGTGTGGGTGTGGGTGGTGCTCAACGCAACGCCCGCCCAACAAAGTCCATTGCGGTAGATGAGGGGGGAGCACAGGAGGGGCAGGTGTCCCGGTGCTCTGGTGCTCTATCCGGTCCAAAGGGGGGGACAAGATCATCTTAGCTTCTAGTAGGAAAACCCATGATGGGAATCCGCTCATGGTCTTAATTCGCAACGTCTTCACCGAAGGGAACACAGAAAGATGGTGCCCGGTGAGTCAAGCGTGGGCTCTTGGGTGGTGCCTGCAACTGCACGACTGATATGTAAGCCATGCAGAAGTACCCAGCAACACCCAACCAGGTCCAACGCCACCACCGCTTACTCCGTACAGATAGTAATGCTCCGCAAGATGGGCTCGGCTAGTCTCCGAGAGGAGGTCTCGGTGCTGTTCTAGCTGCCGTGGTGTGAAACCAGATAGGGGGAAACATGTTCCATGAGGGGGGTGAAGTAGATGATTGCCATGTAGGGGAGATGTCGGCGAAGGGATGGGTGACGGCGAATCAGAATGTGTCCCACGACTAAGGCAAGCGGCAACGGGTTCAAAGGCGCAAACTTGACACTTTGGACCACACGGCCTAGGAATCCCCTGGGGCGCAGTCCAGGAGACCCGGCGCCAAGTCTAGGTTTGCGTGGGAGACCTCCAAACTCGAGTTGGTTGAGGCCCGGCCCCCACCAGCATCTCGTTGTGAGCAGGCAGGAGAGAGAGCTGGTGAGAGGGACAAAGACAAAAGGTCCCGAGGGCGGGTAAGGTGAGGAGAGCTTCACAAGGCATCTACTAGGTAGCTATGCCGTACAGCTGTCAGTTCAATCTCAGTTAGATGATATGAAGATAAGGAGGGCCGTATATCCGGGGAAAGATGCTCGGAAGCAGCGAAGCAAAGCTCTCTTTGGTTGCCGTCATAGCGTCGTCGTGTTGAACAGCCATAAGAAACGGGAAACTGGGCACGAGTGCTTGGAACACGAGGCTACCATAAAAGAGGCGCTGGCGGTCAGATAAGGAAGAAGGTGAGAGATGGGACCACAACCGAAAGGACAAAAAGAACAAGTTAATAGAGAAGATGCTCGGCCCTTTTTGGGGAGAAACGTCAGGCGTCGCCGGCGTCGAGGTTTGGGCAGGCGAAAAGTAGCATCAAAGAAGATGCATTTTAGATTGCCAAGGGCAGGGAGGAGGGTCGAGGGGCTGATATCCACAGCCAATCCTGGCTCAGGAGTCGCCAATGCATTCGGCGGACTAACACTTGTGGCACCGGTCTGCAGGCGATTGCTGTTAGCAGATGACGCGCTTCTCCCTGTCCCGCAGAACAGTACAATTTTTCGTGGATAGTGGATGGAGCACCCCAGCGTCGGACAGTGTGTGTCCCCCCCCCCCATGCCCGCTCATAACCAATTCTGCCCCAGGACCGTGGTCTCCTCCTCCAAAAAGTCTCAAACGACCTGCCAACTCTGAATTTTTCCGACCTCAGTCCCAACCCACAGGGTCATTTGTCAACACAAAAAGACGGGCCAGAACACGGCGACACGACTGTGACGACGATAAGAAGCTCCATCTGAAATTGAGACACCGCCCGCGAATTCCTGCCGACGGAGCATCCTTTGCACCACCGCAGAAGCCCATCCCATTCCCGACCGTGGCAGCCTTTCGCTCTCACGTCCCCCAAAACACACTGCCCGCGACCGCCGAGCAACCTCACTTTCTCGACCAAGACGACCGGCCCAGCCGACCCTTTGCCTCCTAACAAGACGATTAACAAGCGGCATCTTGCTGCTGACCCCATAGCGATCAACAGCGACACGTGATTTTTTCACCCAGTGACGAACGCAGCACCTGCTCTCCACGGTCGCCCTCGCTGAAAGTTGTCCGCTGCAATCCCGCCAAACCCGGTGACGACAACCCACTTTCGCCATCTAACGGCACCCAAAAAAAATAGACTTGGTAGAGACTCGGTCTTGACATCTTCTGCACGAAGTGTAAAAAAAAAACGAAAAAAAAAGAGGAATAACGAAAGGGGCCTTTCTCACCCCCCATCCCCCTCTCCCCGTCACAGCCACTCGCTGCTGAGATCGCTTCTGTTTTGCAGCGTGATAGGTAAGTCGCTGCTGCTGCTTTCTATTCACTTTACGACATCACTAGCACAAACCACGCTTCGATTCGTCGCGCATTCACTTTTCCCTGGCATCTGGCCTGTCCACCTCACCCACTCTCCCGAGACCCGCTCCGCGACTTTTCATCCCAAGTTTTTTGTTTCGAGTTTGACTAACTCATTGTTATCGTCTATTCACTACAGCCAGCTTCCAGAAGTGCATCACCACTCCGGTTTTCCAGCGCGCTCGCCGTTCTTTTTCCTGTTTCTTGTCTTCGACTGTCTGGGATCTGTCGGTCACTAGCACAAAAACCCGTCTTTTTTTCTTTCTTTTTTTTGCGTGCGCCAAAGCCGAAGGCTGGTGAGGATTGAGGAATATTTACCATGGCGGACCAACACGAAGTCGACCTTGACTCCATAATCGATCGCCTCCTGGAGGTGCGGGGCAGCCGGCCGGGCAAGCAAGTCCAACTGCTCGAAGCCGAGATCCGCTATCTTTGCACCAAGGCTCGTGAGATCTTCATTTCGCAGCCTATCCTTCTCGAGCTTGAAGCTCCCATCAAGGTAAGACAAACCCCCTTCGCGAAATTTATTTTGCCATTGACGCGTGGTCTTGGTGTGCCACTCGTCCTCCCTCATACCTTTACCGTGCGCACCTGGCTAACATTGCTTGTCCAACCCAGATCTGCGGTGATATTCACGGGCAATACTATGACTTGCTTCGTTTGTTTGAGTACG